GGGGGGCCGGGGGCGTGGCCACGCGGGTCACGTTGCCCGCCCTGCGGGGAGGGGCGCGGAGACGGGCGGGCGCTTCCGGCGCGGTGCATGCCGGGATAGCATCCGGGCCCCGCTGAGGCGAGCGGTTCGCTGCGCGGGAGGCGGCGGGCGGTTGTTTGCGGGTGTTTCTCCTCCAGGCCGCAGCCCCCCTCCTCGGACCGCCGCCATGGCGATGCAAGCAGCCAAGCGAGCCAACGTGAGTGCTCTACCCTGCCCCCTCCCCGGCCCGCCTCAGCCCTCCGGGGGGGTGAGGAAGGGTCCCGGGCCCGGAGCTGAGAACAGGCCTTCCCGCCCGGTCTGGGCTCCTTCCGCGTCCCCGGCCGAGGGAGCTCGTCCCCCTCCAGGCAGGCCTATTGACTGGCAGAAGCTCGTCAAGTTTGTAGTTGTGGAGGATTATAAAAAGACCAGCGAAGCACGCGGATTCTTTGTTAGCCCCAAGATTTAGCACGTAGGCTGCTGCTTCTTTTAAGGTTTGAAGTGAGTGCTCTAGGTCTAACGCCGTATGTTGTTTCTGCATCAGATTCGGCTGCCTCCAGAAGTCAATCGGATCTTGTATATTAGGAACCTGCCATATAAAATCACAGCGGAGGAAATGTATGATATTTTTGGGAAATACGGGCCTATTCGACAAATCAGGGTGTAAGTATTTTTGTTTTCTTTGAAAAGTTTAGGTTTTTGTAGCTTTAATATAGCTGTTACATGTCACTAATCCTATTGCAGAAGGTAGAAACTGAATTTCACAGTTGAAAAAGTTAAATGCACTTTAGCGGTATTCCTCTGTGACAAAGGTGGATATGATGATATTTCTCTGACTGAATTCCTTAGACAATAACATTGCTGGTAGGTAGGGTGAAAAAGCTTAAACTGGATGTGAACTTAGGTAAGTTGGCAAAAATATGAGAGACTTACTTTCAAGTAAAGCTTAAATACAGCTTGAATACAAGCAGTTTTCATATTTAATAAGTGTTAGATACTTAACTAATGGGAAAATAGAGATGTTACTATTGCTGCTGGACCTGTTGAGTAGAAACAAATACTTAGCAACAATTCCCTGTCTGTTGGATACAGCTTGTCCCTGACCCACACGTTCTGGATAATGGTGATCTGACTGTAACTTTGTTTTAAAATGCATTGAGGTTATATGTGGCAACAGCAAATCAGTTTCTTCTCCTTAGTTATTTCAAATATTGAAGAACCGAGCTCTGATATTCCTTGTTATTCTCAGTACTGTCTAATTGTTTTGGATTAAACATAACTTTATCTGGTTAGTGTTTTGTTAAGTTTCTAGGGGAAAGAGTTGGCTGAAGCTGGAATTTGGGAAGAGCATTTGAGAACCGTAATAAGGCTGGTTGGAGTATGACGCTCATACAAAAGGATTTTTTTTTGCTTTTCTGAAAACTATAGGAAGGGGAGGGAGAGGAAACAAAACTTGATGTTTAATACTTAAAAGAAAACATTGTAAGTCACGTTTCAATAGATGTACAAATAGAAATGAAATGTAGATTATATTTGATACGGGGGGGTTTTGTATGGCTTTTATCCAGATGGTGGCAAAATAACCTGCAGCATGAGCTCTTGACTAGGTTGCTGATCAGGATTAGAGCAGAATGTATCCTTGTCACTTACATCACTCTCCATTTCCCCAAGCTCTGAGACTGGTGTGGGTAATTAATCCACAATATGATTGTTTTGACTATGTAGGACGTAAATATGTAAACAGTTAAACAACAGTTAAACTTAGTAGAACTTTACTAACCTAAATAGAACTGCTCATTCCAGAGCCATAGAGATTAAAAATGGTTGTTCAGTGTATAAAGTGAGTTTTATGTATAGAATTGCCTTCAGTAAACAAACAAGGACAGGGTGATGTACTGCTGATGCTGTGTTGGGACGTGTAGCTAGTGAGATCCTTTTGACCAGGGAAGGGCAACAGAAGTGACTGGGGAAGTGGCTAAGGGAACAAGGGGCAGCATAAACTTACTGCTTGGCTAAATAGGTGGAATTCTTCACTAATAAGCATAAAGAAGACTTAATATTTAAGGTTTCTGAAAACATGTAGGTTGGAACAGCGTGACAGTGGGACACAAAGAATTAAGGCTTGCTAGGGGAGCTTTCCATCAGAGCAGTGTGTTGGCGTATGTGTCTGACAGGGAGCTGTGGACAGCCTCCCCACTACTAAGCTGTGTTGTTTCCACATAAAACCTGACATCATGAGACAAGACATAATGTGGAACTCCTTTGTAATTACTTTCGTGCTTTGTGCAGTTCTTATCCCACTCCTCTTCATTTTCGTACGTATCCTGGTGTGGATACATGCAATATCATTTGTCCTCAGGCATTCTCTTCTAAGAAGCAAGCACTTTAGAGACAGTTCTCTTTATTAATTTTGCTATAACTATCTTTTAGCTGAAATTTTTTGGATTTAGGAACTCTGCAGTCTCTCTGGGCTAGTTAGTGTTATGTGCCCAGATGTGTCTCCTGTCCCTCAGGCAAAGGAAATTGAATTGATGGTCCAGTAGGTGATGGTTGGGTGTCTGAAGTGGTCTTGTACCAGTGGGCCTGTATTGACTCTCTCTAAATTGACTGTGTGATGTGCCGAGAGCCATAGTCTGTCCTAGGGAGACATTTCATCCAGACAGCCATTAACTGACAGCCTAGTCTTGTAATATTAAATCAAGCTGATCACCATAATAAAAAAACTAAAGTATTTCCAGAAATAGGACAACCCCTGACAGCAGCAGCTTCTGATAGTTGTTGTGAAGTGCATTTCCCTTAACACAGCACATGCCTCTGTCACATTTTCCTGTCATCTTTGACTCTGAATTGTAACTGGAGATTGGTGTGGAAAGCAGGAATGTATTTTAATATCTAGAAAAAAAAAGTGGTTTTTTTTTTTTAGTGAGGTTGCATTAGTTAATCTAATCTGTCACTGCTAAAGACTAATAGAACTATTTCCTGTTCATTTTGTTTAACATTAAAACGGATCTTGCTCTGCAGTGGAAACACTCCTGAAACTAGAGGAACAGCCTATGTGGTCTATGAAGACATCTTTGATGCCAAAAATGCTTGTGATCACCTGTCAGGATTCAACGTGTGCAACAGATACCTCGTTGTTTTGTACTATAATGCAAACAGGGTACGTACACTTGGGGTTTTTTTGAGTTACCTGTGAACATAACTAGGCCCCCCCCCCCCAAGTTTTTTGAAAAGACAGTTGCTTGGATATTTTTAAGAAATAAATGCAAACTGGTAGAGGGAGCGGATTGGATAAATTGTTAGCATCTTTACTTGGTGACTTGTGTGCAAAAAAAAAAAGTGCCTTTGGACGAAGGGTGTGAAGAACAGGTTTCTGGTGAGTGTACTTTGGAGAAGAGGAAGCAGGGGCCCTAAAACTGCACAGTTGCAACAGGATGTGAGATCTTGTTTGCAGGTAAAAAGCCTCTGGGTTACGATGTTCCCACCTGTTACTGACAGTACCCAGGATCCTGTGGCATCCTCTGAGGTCCAGGACTAAGCAACGCTGTTTTGTGTGTGGTGTTGGTGTAGTTCATAGTGACGTTGGTTGCAGTAGCTGGGAAATAACATGTCATCAGATGAGATTATATTTTTCTTCTCACATCTTTTATTCTCCTGATTACAGGCATTCCAAAAGATGGACACAAAGAAGAAAGAGGAACAGCTTAAGCTTCTCAAGGAAAAATATGGAATTAATACAGACCCACCAAAATAAACTGATCTTTTTGGAAAACTGTTTTCAAGCCCTGCCACTGAGTTCTTGAACTAGACATAGGAATTCTCAATGAAGTATAACTTTTAAAAAAATTTTGATAAGCTGTAATTTGAAGCTTTAGATCTTCACATTAGAATTAAATGTAAAACACTGCAAGATTTGCTTTAAGATTAAATCCCCTAAATGGACATGGCTTCTGTGTGTTGTAAGGGTGACCTGGTAAATGCTGCATGACCGCAGCCCTGTTTCTAGCGGGACCTTCCAGGATCGGACCAAGCAGGTTGAGGATCGGACCAAGCAGGTTGAGTGTTTCACACCTGAAGTTCTGCCCAGTCTCCAGGGTGGATTTTAAGGGTGGCAGCCAGTTAACTCAGAGAGCTCAGGGGGCTCTGTACCAGATGCCTACACAGAGGTAATCTTGTTACTCTCTGAAAATGGAGTGTTACAACTAGTCTGCCTGCCACAGGGATTTTTGTGCTTTTTTAAAAAAGAAGGAAGTATGATTTGATACTTCATCACACCTGAATACTGTGCATAAATTATTGTGCCTTTCTCCCTCTGGGAATGTTTGAAGGAACCTGACTCCATCACATGATCATCAGGTTGCTTCTTGCTAGAAACCAAGCCCAAAGCCATGTTTATAACAAAGTTTCTTTTACAAACTAGAAAATGAATAGCCTTTTAAAATGATCTAACTGCTGAGGTGACTTCAGTCAGAATATTTTGTTTCCAGTGATTCAGACAAAATTGGTAAGCTGCAGTAAAATAATCTTGCTCTAATAGTGTGTTGCTGCAGGGCTGACAGTGGCGTGCGAGATTTTTATTGCTTGTACCCAGTTTGTACTGAGGTCAGTAGCTGCAACAGGAATACACTGCACACCTTTGAATGTTAAGTGGAGAACACCTGACCAAAGTGAGATGGTAGATGATGGCAGTAATCTTAGATACATGTAGTGTGATTGTTTTCTACTCAGTGTGGTTGAATTGTAATATATTTCATGTAGCATCTAGTGGAGGAAAAACATTTATTTGACACTTTTTTTCAGCACTTGTGTCCTGTGAATAAAAATTAGTGTGTTACAGAATATGCATAACCAGTATACTTTGGAACTGGAAAAGAATTAACTTCTGCCCCTGCTCTGAACCACCTGGAAGTCATGTGAACATTGGTAGTTCTCCTCCTGCCTCGGGAGGATTTATTTTCTTGGATGTGATGTTTAACTCCCTGACCAGACAACTTCCAGCCGGTGCAGAACATGAGCAGATGCAAACATACTTTGCTTGAGGATTTGTAATTTAAATTTTTTCAGTGCATCATAAAGGAATGTATGGATTTCCTCATCCTTAGATTTTTATTGAAATCTGTCACTTAACCATACTGTTCTGTCTAACTAGTAAAAAAAATAAATGTGTCTACATTGTTTTGCTTTTTTTCATCCAGGCTTGCTTTGTGCTGTGCTTCTGCATGTAGCCTTTCCTGTTAGAAAGGAAGTGATTTGTCACCTGCATGTTTGTGATACAGGTAAGAATTTGTAGAGCATCCCTCCCCATATGTATGTGAATGCTCACGTGTGATCGGCCCCTGAGTGCTGGGGAAGGATGCCTGGCTGTGAGTACCAGCGTTGAGCTGAGGAGTTGCTTGTCATTTCTCAGCTGGGAGGAGCATGAAGGATGGTGGTGACGCTCCCAGCTGGCTATTTCACCCCAGAGCAGCAGGGAGGAGGCAGCTGACACTCGGGTGCCATTTCAGCTTTGGGTGGGTGCCCGGAATCCCACCTTGTGCCTGACCTGGCAGCAGCCCTGGGGACAGGGCTGTGTGTTCTGCTGCAGCTGGGACGTGAGTGAGAGCTACATTTGGTGTGTGTGTAATGAAAAGCCTTGCCCTTATGCTGTGGCTTTTCCACACCTCTGTCCTTCCCGTAAAACTGACGCTGCTTTTTCAACAAGCAGCCTTGCAGGCCCCAGTGCAAGGGAGACTTGGAGCCTGAGAGCAGCTGGGGTTGTGCCTCTGGACTACAGAAACGTAAAGCTCTGCTGCGACGTCACCGCTGTCCCACTTGCCCAGCCCTGTGCTGCTTCTGTCGGGTGCAGCTGTGATGCACGTACATTAAAGCAGCTGTGATCTGCCGTTGTCCTTAAGTGAGCAGTACTCCTGCAGTGCCAGCTTGGTTTTCAAGTTTTGCCCATCAGATTAATACAAACATAAGGCAAAAACCAGCTTGCCTTAAAAATGTCTAAGTGAATGAAAAGCTGTTGGAGGCCTTGCTTCTGTGTGAACAGCTGGAGCTTTTTGAAGGTTACAAACAGCCCCCCCGATATATGTATACACATATGCACCATGTAGGCACATCCACACACCTGCCAAACAGCAGGGTAACGGGGGCTGTTTACACCATGTGCTGGGCATTTGGAAGGCCTCTTGCTGTAACAGGAGCTGGGAGTGCTTGTTACCAAGCTGGATTTTGCTTCTAATAAATAATAAATACTACTAATAAAATATCAAAATGCTAATAGTTATGCCACATGCTGCCAGCCTTGTTTAAAATCATATGCAAATACCACATTGCTTCTGTCAATACCAGAGAGCATGGTGCTTGCACTGCAGTGTCTGTTTTCATGAGGATTTGATGCTGTTTGAAAAACATATATAAGAAGCAATTCTTTAGGGTAATAAGATTAATAAAAATTCCTTCAATGAATCCTCAAGATCAGCAGCTTTTGATTTCTCTGAGAGCTCAGCTGCTGCCTTTCATTAAATATTCCATTTCATACTTTTTCTTCTAGTGCCTGTTTGGGGCTTTGAATGTCCCTGCACATGTAAAATGAAATAATAATTTGTACCTGCAAGACAGAGGGAATGGAAATCGAATGCCCGGAGGATTGTTTTGATGAGGTCTGCTCAAGATTTTGTTTGAAATGTAATATCAAAGGACAGGGAAATGAGTTTAGTTATATGAATGGCAGAGGGGGCAGCAAATAAGGCAGATGTTACCAGCCTTGTACTCTGCATCTGTGCTGTTTTTTGTGTGTGCTCACTTCCCATTTAATTTTTCAGGAAGTAGGGCATGAAATTAAGCCTGGAAGGTCATTTTTTTCCATAGATGCTGTTCAGAAATTAGTAACAAGAGGATATCTGATTACACAGGCAATGACAGTAAATTTTTTCCAATCCATTATATAGTGTTAATAATTATATGTACTATGTTGATCGATGATACAATTAAATAAATTAACGCATTTGCAGTCAAATAAAGAGCTGAAGATTACATTTCCTTGAAGACTTAATTTCCCTAAGTATCACAAAGCACAATTAGTTTTCCTTTCAGATTTTTTCTTTTTAATGAAATTGGCATGAAAAATGTAATAATCTCTGCTTCCAACAAAGGTCTCTGCAGAGAAAGGGTGATGAGGGAAGAGAGCTCCATCACCCAGCTGTAATAAGGATTTTACAGACTCTGTAATGGCTGGGTTGTACTGCTGAGGGCAAAAGGAAAGCGCACAGCAGCTCTGCAGATACAGACGATAAGACTGAATATAATCAGCTGTTAAAGCTCAGCAGGAGTACGTTTTCCCCTGGTAAGAAACGTGGCAGAAGTGGCAGGGCAGAGCGATGCCCTACCTCTTGCTTTAGACACAGCAGAGCGTCGCCAACAGCAGGGCCCAGAGCTGATGGGGAGCACGTGGCCACCCCAGGAACGCTGAGCCACTCCTTGGCACTGCTGCTTGCTTTCGGGGCATTCAAGAAAGGCCCCAAACCAGGTCCTTTATGTTAGGTGTTTTTTTGTTTTTGTTATTTTTGTTTGTTTGTTTGTTTGTTTGTTTTTAAATGAGCAGCTAACTTAAACAGGGCCACTGGTAGGAGCAGCTATAGACTGATGTGCTGAATCAGCCAATGTTTGACAGGCGTGATGGGGCTGTTAGGTTTAACCAAGTCATCTACAGGAGCTCACACATCTGCCACTGCTGCGACCCAGCCTGCCGTCTGCAAGCCACAGCTGAAATCACAACCAGCGACAGAGGCCGGGGCAGTGCCAAAGGAGACCAGGACCTTTTAAAAGAATTTGGGAGAGCTAGTGGGCACCAGACCCCAGCAGGTCTAATTCCCTATTTATTAACGGGAATTTAGCCTGTCCTAAACAAAAGACTTATTATGGAAAAGTGGATGTGTAACGCTGCTGCTGCAGCGATCCCAGATTTCCACCAAAAAAAGGGGTTTTACAGGCTTATTAATTAACAAAAATTTATTTTCTAAAGAAAGAAGGGCGTGAACTGTAGTCACTGCCAGACTGCCAGTCTTGCTTTTCTGTGCTCCTTCTCTCTCAGCTCCAGGAGGTATCACCTGGAGACACCTGCATAGCTTTGCTGTCTGTCTGCTCACGCTAGGTGTGTTCTCCTTACACACACTCACACAAGGAAACAGCTCACCACCTCCTTGAAATCCTTCCATAAAAAAATCCGTTAGTTGACAGCTACGCAGAGTTTATAGTCAACTAAAACAAAAATAACATTGTGACCCAGTGATGCTCTATTTCTTCATATGAGAAATAATGAACAAAAAATGAGTTGATGAGTGTTTGAAGAACTTGTACACCAAAAAATTCCAGTGGCCAGAGGAGAAAAACAGGAAATTGAAACTGTAAATATTGAGATTTTATTTGTTTTTATATATACTTTTAATTCTTAAATGAGACAGTATATTTTAAAACAGCAGCAAGCAGAACGTACAAGTTGAGAAAAGTGGCAGCGCAGGTAACTCTGTTTGGCTAATGCCCGTTCATGTACAAGGTGTACATTGGATTTTTTTTTTTTTTGAGCACCTTTTGTGTTTCTTTTTTCTTGGTTTAAGTGTACAGTAAGGCAGTGGTTTTTCAATAAGGAATATATATATATTTATATTTTATATATATTTTCAGTCATCACTGTGAATTCTTCTTACATGCAAATTAAATAAAATGTACAACTTGAAAATGTTACAACGGTAGACATTTTTCCCAAAGCAAAGCTTCTAATAAAAGGCAAATACGGACACCACAAAGTTAAAGAGAAGGAAGGCATAAGAAACCAAAGGGCAGGCGCTATTGACAGGACAGCTTGAGCGGGGAAGATTGGGATTCCAGTGGAGATTTCTCCCGCTGCTGGCAAGGCGAGAAAGAATGGATGGTTATTAACAGATGTCTGCAGCCAACTCCCTCGAGAAGATTCACTCTAACCTGAGAAGCTCCACATCAAAAAGGAGAGTTGCATTGGGAGGGATGACCCCAGGGTGGCCTGTGGCTCCATAGGCCATCTCGGGTGTGCAGGTCAACTTTGCTCTTTGTCCTAAGCTCATCTGGGTTTTGAATGTTGGAGAAAGAAAAAGAGAAGACAAGAAACAGTTATTAGGAGGAAAACAAAGGACAAACCACTGTGTGGCAGGAGAGTTGGGACCATCAGACTCATCTTTCAGCTTCAGGCTGAAGCTGCCCCCAACAGCTCAGACATGGGTCTCCTGACTCCTCCGGCTTCTCACAGCAGTTACTGAAGTTGCCAGAGCCGGTCTGGGAGTCACACCAAGGCTTTTTAACACAGACTTTGGTCCATCCTGCCTATGCTGGGGCCAGCTGTAGGTGTGAGTTTTCCTTCTGCGGAGCACAGGTACATGTAACACCATCAGTGGGCATTAGGAAAAAGGCTCAGTAACAGACAGGACAGGAGCTTGTATTCAGGAGAGATCAGTGCCGAAACGCAGCTGGGTTCAGATTCTGGAAAGCACTCGGCAACATTTTTCCTTCTTCAGGCACCACCAGGGACAACTTCAAAACCACTGCTCAACCACTAATGCTGCAGGCACACAACCTGCTGCTGTTGGGCAGATGCAAAGCAAACAAATCCTACTTAAAAGAGGTACTTATTTCCCCAAGCTCGGGGACAGGCATCTCTCCTCAGGGACTGCTTATTCTGGCAGAGAGCTCTTGCCCCTGGGATGGACAGAAATGCTGATTTCTCTCACTCCAGACTAGCTCTGAAGGTAACAGTGCTCACTGAGATTTGGGGTATCAAGAACCAAATCCCTGCTCTTCCAACAGAGCATTTTTGAGGTGGAACGTTCTTAAACTGCTATTCATGCATCATGTACAGGTGACTGAATATTCACTGGCCAGGAAATAATCCCTGCTTTGAAGCAGTGATTCAATTTGGGCCTCTCTCCCAAGATTTGGGCACATCACTGGACTACAGATTACATGGTATCTCCTGCTGTTTTTTTTTTCAAGTCCTACAAAATATAGCAAAGTTTTGATCACTTTACGTGGATGAAAAATGTGAATGTGAACTTTCCCACAGTCAGGGAGTATTCATACCATGGGGCTGAGGGTGTAGGGGCTGACGACCTCCCCTGGTCCCTGCAGGGGTTAGTGTGGGGCAGGCTGCCTGCTGCTCCGACAGCTGCTAAGTCATGCACGAGTTTTAGGCACGGGGCAACCTTGAACTGTCGGAAGTTGAGCAGAGAAACATGAAACATGAAACATTGAAAAATGGACGTCCTGGACGCCGTGAACTGCCTTTTTCCAAGTGCCTAATAAACCCCTCAAAAGCCTGGGGTGGAAGGCGACAGCCACAAGCTCAACTTCAGACAGTGTTCCACTAGGAGGAGCAGGAGGGCAGCGCGTTGCTTCACCGATTACTGGAATGGCTTTCAGCCGCTTATTCATTAAGGGACAGGAGTCGGGGAGCCAGAGCAGTCAAGGAAGGGATAAACAGATTCACCCAACACTCGCTGACACTTTTTTATCTGCACTGGCTTCTGGTATCTACAGCATCCTGGGGTCCTGAGCTCCTCTTAGGCCTTACTGCAGAGCAAATAATAGAGTCCAACTCAAATCCTTGAGAGGAAGGTGGGTATTTTTCAAAAAGTCTAGAATTCCTCGAATGGATTTCTTCTCTGGCTGGAGAGAAGGGAATGCTTGCACTGCTTTCTCCATAGGGCTGGAAAACATTTTCTCTTCCACCCCTCTCTGGAAAAACATGGTTGCACCAATTCTCAGTGGATTGTTTCTCATTTAGCATTCTTCCCTTCTCTCTATTTAAGCATAAGAAGTTATTCCCATTATAGTTGTACCTGTAATAATATTTGAGCTGTTTCCTCCTACACTGAGCTCTAGGACCCCGAAACAGGGAGTCACAAGGAATTTGCACCCTGATCTCATACACTCTTGCACTTGAGCAGCCTGACTGCACTCCTCTCACAGCGTGCCCTCACAACACTGCAGACAACGAGCAAGAGTTGGCAATGATTTGCATTGTGTGGCACTTTTAGGGTTCTGCTGTGTTGGCACTCAAACTGCAATTAATGGAGGGCAGTTTCCTTTTTCTCAGCATAGGGCTGGCCAGTGAATGTTAAGTTTTGTAGCTGGGAGCCTGAAGTCATAAAAAATTTAACAGTGCAGTTTGGTACCTTATTCAGTAAGGGTCAAAATCTGTAGCTCGGTCATGGATGTCATCAAAAACAGCAGCTTGGACTTTTATGGAGTAACTGGATAGAGGCTACTCCATAAAACGCTGCTACCTGGAACATTTTAGAGGCCGCTGTTGTCTATTTGTGGAGCTGTCCATGGGAAAGGGATGGGGGCTTATGTGGCACACTGGCACCTGGGGAGGGGACTTCTCATCTCCCCTCCCAAATGCACACCACGTGGAAAGCCTCATGAGTAGGAGACATCCCTGGATGGATGGAGGAGAACTACAGGAATTACCGTGCTCAAATGGACCACGCTTTTAGTAAACCACTGTATCTTACACTGTGATTTCCCACTTGGTCTTGTCACCATTGCACTGGACGTTGCTGTGCTCACACACCCTTCAGAGCTGGCTTGAAGTTTAGCCAGAGTATTTCTTTGTACCTGTGTAACACCTTCTTCAAATCCTTTAATGACTTCTTGCCTGCCAATCTTGAACCTGAAAGGCTTGTTTCTGTCTCTGGAGGAATCAAACTTCTTTCCGTTCTGTAGCATCCCTGCCAAAACAAGACACAGAGTTTCAATCTATCTAAGCTACATCTAAATGTAAGTGCTGGCGGGGAGGGAAGGAGTGAAAAATTAATGTCTTGGTCACATCAGCTGCTCATTTCCATTTTCACTTTGAAGCCTTACCCAAAACAGATAAGGCAGAAGAGTCAAACGCAGTGGTACCATACTGTTACCTTTGCCTTCTAGTAATTTAGGCTCTAAAATGGAAATATATTCTTATTATTAATGCATTAGGTTATAACTCGTATCATAACAAACACTGCACAGACATACAGAAGAGCTGTTGCTTGCACAGTGGCATTCCCCTGCTAAAGAAGATAAAAGCAGGCAAGCAACAAGTGGGACACAACAGAAGAGAGAATCCCAATGCAGATGCCTGATCCAGGCCTGCTCCTAAACACAAAACACCTCCCTAAAACCTACAGACAAAGAAACCAAATTTAATATAAATTCAACTGGGTTTACTTCTCATTAAATACTTGTATTTTAAGACATTGTATTAAATACACGTATTTTAAGACATTCTTTTAACATCATAACTAACTAAAGGGAATAGTCCTCCCAAGTACACGTCAGGTAACCAGGGGCTGTTGCTGTGTGTGGTCCAAAGCTCACCCCAGTCAGCAGGACCCTTCCACCTTTGGGTGGGAATGTAGAGTAAAGTTTGGGAACTCTTGAGGCAAATTTACTGCCAGTTAAACATCTGTAAATACAGAGGAGCTCCTTTGACTTGTTCCTACAAATTTACCTGAGAATACCTAGAAGAAATATTTGATACTTTGGGCTGTTTAACCTTCCCTCCTTGAGATACTCGGAAGTAGTAGAATAATGTGCATTACACAAACGTGGCCATTCCACAGCATGCATGTGAAACTTCTACACAGTGTTACAGCTTCATGTGTCTCCTCCTCAGACAGAAAGAACAGGAAAGACTCTGCATTCAAAAATCTGAAAATAGCAAGGACATTTATATGAATACTCTACTACCCTCATTCTTTATGTTTTCATTCAGCCACAAGAGACAGTCACAGGAACCCTTACTCATTCCTTTTGATGGGCACAACACTGTTCCAACCTAAATATTATGAACACATGCCCAGATTCTACAGCAGTACTACCTGATTAGGTATTTTCATTCTTTTTTCAAACAGTGGATAATTATGGTCGTTTTAAATTTAAAAGTCCCTGGTAATTATTCTTTCAAAATGCTATACTCTGGATATTGCAAGGTTGGTCTGATATTTATATATTAGAATAAATCTTTTCTTTGTAATGCTTTAGTGCCAGTATTCTGGGCATATACCATGACTGTCCTGTGCAAGGTGCTGCACAAAGTTCATGAATAAGCAAGTATCTGAAAAAGTTTCTAGTTGAAAAGAGCATTATCAGACACAGCTTTGACAAAACATGCTGAGAAATACTGCCTTTATGATTCAACATGAAAAATACAGTCTTACAAGTTTCTTTTCATTAAAGCAGTTTATTAAGAGACCAGTTTGATGCACAAGTTTTATTTTTCAATGAAAACCATCAGTTATTGTCTGGACAACAAAGAAAAAGTCATATTTTACTTGTTTAAAATGTCTGTGTTATGAATTAAATGTAAAATATATGAGATGCGCCAGAATGAAAAAGCAAGCATAAAAGGGTAGGATTCCTCTTACTAACCTTTATGATTCTAAGATGTAGCCAGCTACTTTTGAGCTAATTACTCTGCTTCCCTCTATAATCAAGTCAGAGAAAAATGCACTTTCAGGGGGTAATTCATCTAACGAAATCTAGGGATCTACATTAGGACATAATGAATTGCATCCTAGCAGTGCCTATTTCTCTGCAATGAACATAAGGGGAGTCCAAACAACTAGTTCAGACATCGATGTCTCCAAATTCATTAGTAGTTAAATCAGTGGTGATGGCATTCTGGACTTGCAGTAACGAGTACACAGTACCTGATCCTTCCAGTGGGGTTCTGTGCCTCTAGATATTTTACACCAATATTAAAACCAAATGCCATATTAAGGCAAATTAGCCGTTGATGAAGTCCAATGTTTGTCAAAGTTGGTACTTCAGAGACGCACGTGTCTCTGCGCGCGCGTGTGTGTAAGGCCTCAGGAGGAAAATTATGGAATAACCTGCCCATAAGGTATGTTTCATAACCTTCACCATTAGCCTTGCCACATTCCTTAAGTTCTTCACCATAACAGTGTTTTAGGTGTACCCCGATGAAAGTACATACACATACTATGAACTGTGTCGTCTCAGTGATACCCCTAACTACCCCCCCCCC